TTCTGTGCTTTGAGAGAGAGAAAGGTGCACCACCTTCTAGGTTTTAGGGGGTACCTTGAAGCTGTCACTTTTTGTTGCCATGCGCTTGGAGTTGTGGAGTTCGAGGGACCGACACTCAGCAGGCGATGTCAGGGTGTTGGAGCCTTAGATGTTGATCACAAATTTCACAAGCCGAGCCTCTCTCAGTGAGACAGCTGGAAATGTCACACAGAATCCTTTTTGATGATGTCGAAATTTGGAACCAAGTCTTTGCAGGGATGTTGTTGTTTTGTGTCTATGCCCGGTCGCATGGAGTGATGCTCAACATGGTGACAGTCTCTTGGAGGACTTCGACGAGTCAGGGAGCTGTGCATACATAGAGGTGGATACAGGTGTCCATAAGACGGCAAAAATCGCTCCAGCTCAGACATTTGTTTCTCCTTTGGTTGTACTATGTCTAGGCGTAATGGAGGGAAACTGGGGAGCTCAGGGGTGTGCTTGTCGCAGACAGCTTGGCATTCCTGATTTGAAGTTTTTTCCACTCATGCCTGCACCCGATGCCCTGCAAGAGCCAACGGAAAGATCCCTGAGCTCAACAGAGGCTGGAAGTTGGATGCGCGCTCTCCTCAGCTTGGATGGCACAAACAAACAAACAAGGTTTTCCTCTCGCTCTTGAAAGCGACATGTTTGAGTTATGCTGCAAAAAAGAGGTTGCTCTTTTGAGGACAGACTTAGCTTGGGATACCACACACATAGCTTGGAAGTGGCTCTTGTATACTCACGAGATGGTGCTTCGAGACCGCTGTGAGCTTGGAGTGCGTGTTAAAGAAAAATCCGAGACAAGCTTTTCAATCCCAATGACACGCACAGTGGCAGACTCAGCAGCTTGCCCAATCTTTATGGAGGACATCCTGCAGAAACCTTGCAGGATCCCACTGGCAGTGCAGAGTGAGTTCCACATGACCAATCACATGACTTAGCAGTTGAAGTCAAAACTGAAGTCCCAGATGTTGATGAGATTGTTTTGAATGACCATGCAACGACAGGTAGCGAGACAGAATCCGATGTCGAGACCACGGTGAGACCGAAAGTGTCATACCGTGACATAGAGGCTCCAGAAGGCAAGGTTTTTGCACCATCACTGCAAGTGGAGGACTCTGCATTTGCGAAGACTTAAAAACCGAGTTGTCTTCCTTTGCGGTCGAAAGACTAGCAACATGTGCAAGGTAACGCAAGCGCGTCATACCATTGACACCCCAAAGTGCCGTCAGTGTTTCCGAGCAAAGCTTGACTGAAACTGGAAGGGCAAAAAGGGTTTGGCAGTCTCCTCATTTCCATTGTTGTGACATTCATTTTTATGCCCAGTGATTTTCCTTTTTCAGTGATATCTCGTGCAGTTTCAGGTACATGAAAATCACATTGGTCACGAGAGCGATGTTTCATGTTTTTTTTTAATCCTGATTGCTTGAGAATCCATACTCGAATTTTTCGTTCCGAGTGACGATCGTTTTGATCTCAGACTTGCATGGGTGTCAACTTAGACACAGCGAGAGAGAGTATCAAAAAACAGTGGACACGATTTCATAGGATTTATCGTGACCACTCATCCTTAAGGTCGACAAATGTTTCAACGTGTTTCAGTGTCAAACAGAATAGCTATGACAGATTGTAGAAGGAGCTTCAGTCAGAACTAGAGCAATGGCACTGGTAGATTCTGAAGCTGCCTTTGCAAGTCATTGCAATGCAATTTGACAAGAGCCGTGAATTGCTGAACTTATACACGGCCGCAAACCCTACAAGTGTCATGAGGTTGGAATTTGCAATTGGGTCACCGCAGACTCCAGCCAGCGAAGAATCGTTCCGAGAGTTGGCAACAGAGATCAACAGTGGCACAGAGCCGCCCGTCACCACGTTGGCCCTGTTGCGGCAATTTCATTTCGAAGCAGTTACGATGGTGGTTGCCCTTTTGAAGACAAATGTCTCAACAGATGCTGGAATAGAGGGTGGACGTAAACTACAACCTGTGGAAAAGGTGGCCCGTCTCAACGTCCAACAAGCCAGGTTGAGAGGGCTATTAATCAGGGGCGAGATCCAGCCATCATATGCACTGGTTGTTTTGGTGGCCGAATTTTCCGACAGTGAGACAACAGTCTGGATTCCCCCTAGCAAGTGCACGAAAAGAGATGCAGAAGTGCAACAATCGTTCAAGGAGAGACCCACTACCTTGACAGTAGAAGAACCGACGCTGAAGTTATCAGCAGGAGAACCAAAGATCAAGGCCGACACCTCGAATGAGCTCTTGATACAATGGACCCTACAACGCCGCGGCTTGACGTGCGACCAGTGCAAGTTGATTTCAAATGAAGTCTATGACAATTGAGTGCAATCACTGTTGATGAAACTCACGAGGGACGCGCCCCCTGGGACACTCAAAGTGCAAATGGAGCAAGTTCTACGAGCCGACCGAGAACTGTTAACTATTATGGCACAAGAGCATAGCGGGCCTTTTGTCTATGAACCCGGAGGAAAAATGCCTCTGGACATATTAATGGGGAAACTTGCACGCGATCCCAGAATCAGCAAGCAGCCACAGCTTGGTCACATGCCGCGTGAAGAAAGCATGACTAAAGGGAAACAAAGCAACAATGCATGCAAAATTGCAACAGCTACGATTTAGGTTGTCAATAAGACAGCAAAGTTGCCGAAGTTTTCACCACGGCAGAGCGCCACAACAGTTGCTGAGGTTAAAGACACGCAGCTTGAAAAGACGGTTCAACAAGAGCCCTCAGTCTCTACTTCAATTTTCCCAGGTGATGTTGAAGACACGCTGGATTACAAGACTCAAGATGAGTTTTATTTCGGAGGAACAACCTCCACCAGTGCAGACGCTGAAGGCGTCCCGGCCAAAGTCTAAGTGGATGTAGCCTCGATGAGGTCAGCGTGATCGTGATTTTTTGCAGGTACAGGCAGGCTCACATGAGCCATCAGAGATCTGGGAATGCCAGCAATGGCAGTGGACAAGGAAAAATCTCGCGCGCAATCAGTGCATGTGGCATGTTACAACTTGAATGCCCCGGACCGTTTGTTAGCTTTGCGTGCGCCGTCATGCGGCACTGCTTCAAGGGCAAGAGGCCAACCGCTTCCCAAATTGGAGAGGCTTGGAGCGAATGTCCCAAAACCGCTGCGAAGTGCTTTGCAGCCAATGGGTTTGGATGGCTTGGCAAGAACTGACAAGGTTAAAGCCGAAACCGCGAACAACACGTATGAGAGTAAGTGCATTCTCATCAGGCTGTGCCACCGCCTTGCAATTGCAGTCTCCTTAGCGAACCCCGAGGATTCTAGCTCTTGGAAGATTCCTGCAAGTGAGGAACTCATGGAAAAGATTCGTGCTTCATGACGCCCTTCGGCAAATTGCTGCCACAGTGGAACGAGGAATACAACCATAACATGGTGGGCCACAGTTGACTGGCCCTAGCAACTAGAAGCACGTTGGGATGGTTCGCATTTTCATGCACAATGGGATGCTGAGTTGATCAATGGCAAGGTACCAACTCATTTGGAAGCCGCGTATCCCATTTCGCGTTGTGAGCGTCTGCCTGCAATTGCGAAAGTCAAAGCCCTGGAGTTGGGCGCTCCTTGTGTCCGAGTTTGGTTTTTATGAAAAATGGGCGATACCGCTTCCACATGGTCCCTCAGATGCCTTTTTTCCTCAAAAGTTTTCCAAAGGGACCAAAATCATACATCGACAGTTTTACCAGGGTGCTTTTCGGGTCGATGCAGTGGTCGATGCAGATGGAGAAACAAGACCTCTGGAGAATCAACAACCGTGCAATCTACAAACAGGTGAATGGACCTCTGGAGAATCAACAACCGTGCAATCTACAAACAGGTGAATGGTACATCTGGCGATGAATTGCCCGAGCTACCAAGAGCAGCACACTCGAGGAGCCGGAGAAAAACTGTTTTGGCGAGAAGTCACGAGCGATTGCGACAATGTTGTCATGGCCAAGCGTTTTGGTTTTGCACAAAAGAACAAGGCCAAAGCCATCGATAGCCATCGATGATTGTTCAGTTGGTGGCTACAACAAAGCCTGTGGGACCAAAGAGAAACTCAGGTTTCGAGCCATAGACCACCTTGCTGCCTAACCCAGCTGGATTTGCACAGAGTTGGCTGACCGAATTGACGATAACATGATTGGCAGGACATACGGCCTGCGCAGCGCCTACAAGCAATTTGGTGGGAGTTCGCATGACCCGTGAGCTGCTGCGCCTTCTGGTTTGGGTCGATGATCAGCAAAAACCTTGCCTGCTTGGTTTGAATGCTCTCCCGTTCGACGCCTCAGGGTCAGTGAGTTGTTTACTGCGTATAAGCATGGCTCCATGGTGCATAGGAACAGTGGACCTGAAGTGGTGTTGGACTGTTGTCTACGATGACTCTACTGTCGTTTGCAAAAAAGAAGTTGAGTCGAAACACTGAACTTGCTGCAGAAACCCTGTTCGCCTTGTTTGGCATGTCGTATGCAAAAGAGGGGTCGAAAGCCATGGATTTCGGACCTTGCTTTAAGACTTTGGGTTTGTTGGTAAAACTTGGAAATGCACTATTAGATTTTCCATAGGACATGCGGATGATAGACGAGAAGAGCTCAGATGCAAAGCTTTTGGAAGTTTTGCATGAAGGAGGCTTGGGGCCCAAGCAGGCCGAATGTTTGAGGGGACGCGTGCAATGGTTTAAGGGCTACGCATTTGGTCGCATAGCTCAGCATAGCCTTAGCACTCTTGAAGAGGTCTCTCTGAAGAAACGAAAGTATGTCCCCTCTCTGGCCACGAGCGTGCCGCTTTGGAGTTTCTTGTCAGAAGGGTTTCAGAAGCAGAGGCCTAAACCCTTACTGGGGGGAGATACATGACGTATCTGAATTTCAATGTCATTTTGGAACCAGTTTTTGGGAGCCAGCGAGTGCATTGTTTTAGGATTCTTTAAGCATATTCTGTGTCCAAGCGGCGCTATCCATCATTGATCGGTGATGGCCTGTGATTGCAAGTGTGGGCAGGTGCTGCAGGCTGAGCTTGCCGAGCTCAAGCAGCGACGACAAGAGCTGCGCGAGGTAGCTTCGTGTTTGGGTTGAATGGGTGTTTGGTGCTTCCAGTCTGCAACCTTTCCCTGCTTGGCGTGTGTCAGGCCTTCAAAGCTAACAAAGCACACATGAAGGCCGCGCAGAAGCGAAAGGCCAAGTTGGTCAAGGCGCAGTCTGGTTTTGTTCTTGCCTGTTGAAGGCACCATGTATTTGCTTTCTGAGATATAGCCAAAAATATTGACCATATATTGAGATGTTGATAAGATATCCCCAGCACTCTATACCCTTGATCCCTCCTTCAGGCAGCTCGTCAACTTTCGGTGTCGGACTTGCAGAACTTGCTCGGATCGATGACGGCCGAGCGCACTGAGTGAGTGAAAACAACAAAAGCTGTCCAGGTGCCTGCAGTTGGCACATCTCAAGTGGCGACCTTTTACGGGTATTATGTACAAACACATGACATATGCCATAGAAAATTGTAGACATAACGATTAAGTGATATTATATGATATATTGCATATTGTCGAATGGACATGCATGAAGTATGCAGGCAACTCATGCCGCAAGAGCATTTGTAGATAGCTTCAAACCGTAGACTGCACTGTGAAGCCGCAAGGGTCGATGCATTCTGTTCAGGCTGCAAGAAAGTTGGCGCAGTGGCTTGCGAGGCTCCAACTCAATTGATTTGCTGAGCAATAGACATTCCGAAATCATCCAGCTATGCTGCAACTGTGGCTATAGGAGGCAGCTGCTCTTTGAAGCTGAAGCTGTCTTGGCACATGCCTTGGCTTCTGCGCAGGCCGTTGGGTAGCCAGAAATGAGACGCCTCAAGTTTCACTAGTTGCTGTCAGGCCTGTAGAGAGCCACGTTTATTCTTTGACATGCATGAAGTATGTAGGCAATTCATGCCGCAAGAACATTTGTAGATAGCTTCAAACCGTAGACTGCACTGTGAAGCCGCAAGGGTCGATGCATTCTGTTCAGGCTGCAAGAAAGTTGGCGCAGTGGCTTGCGAGGCTCCAACTCAATGAATTTGCTGAGCAATGGACATTCCGAAATCATCCAGCTATGCTGCAACTGTGGCTATAGGAGGCAGCTGCTCTTTGAAGCTGAAGCTGTCGTGGCACATGCCTTGGCTTCTGCGCAGGCCGTTGAGTAGCCAGAAATGAGATGCCTCAAGTTTCACTAGTTGCTGTCAGGCCTGTAGAGAGCCACGTTTATTCTTTCAAGCACTTTCTCTACCAGACATTTGTGTTTCCCAACATTCGCACAGACTGGTGGCTCTGAAGCTATGCTTTGCATGACTTCACGTCACGCTGGTCGTCCTTGAAGGTTGGATTGCAACAGAGCTCTTGGAAGGTCTCACAGAAATTGATGAAACGTGTTAAACACGTGGTCGCTTTAAGAGCTTCACTTGCCATGTGAGAAAACTCAGAGCTGGCGCGTCTCAATCACTCAGTACGCTCAGTCGCCAGCGGTCCCAGTAAGCTCCACACAACAATGTTTCCCCAGCACGCACTTCGCATGACTTCATGTCACGCTGGTTCTCTTCAATGTTGGTTTGAAGCACCAAACAAAGGAGAAACTCACCTAAGGTTTGTTTCCGGTCATGCTCGAACTCTTCGAAGTGACTGTTCTAAACAATGCGGAAATAACGTTCTTATTTGCGCCTTGTCATTTCAGAGAACAAAGAACACATTTTAATCTCTAGAGTTCTTTGCACAACCCACTGTATGATACAGCACCACGATGTTGACATATACACAAGAACTGTCAACTCTTTTGGATGTACAGTTTTAGATTTTTAGTCCATGATGAATTTATCTTCTATCGAAACCATTTGAGTGGATCAAACAAATAGGGTTGGAACACTTTTTTTGAAACTCATCCACATTTGCTGTGCTTGTGATGTCAGTTGCTGCAGTTGCATGTTGTATATATATATATTGCGTGTTTTTCTGTATATTGGTTATATGTATACCGTGGCGATAGCCTCACGCTAAGTAGATGAATACACATACTTGGCGAAGTTTGGACTAAATTTGTAGAAAAATTTACGCGAACGTAGGTTTCCGTGTTTTTCCTGGGAGGGTTTAGGGAGGGAATCTACTTACACAACTAGCACGTGCAAGTCCGATTTCCACACACGCGTAAAATAAATACACCTGCACAAGACGCAGGTGCCCAAGGCGTAAAAAAAATACGCCTGGGCGAGACACAGGTGCCAAACGCGTAAAAAAATACATTTTTTAGCAAAAATCGCATCGCAAATGCACCAAACATATGCAAAAAATACACAACGTCAAAACACCAAAAATACACATTGGGACAGGTGTATTTTGAACATGCCGTGCCTGGAGACCAAAAATGCGCACGGAAGAAACTGTATTTTCTGGCGGCGCAAGTTTTTAGCCACGTGAATTCCATATTTCTAAGTGCATTTTTGGCTTTGGCCACAATGACGCGATTGAGGCGAATTTTAACTCCAAGATGCCTTAGAGAGTGTACCAGACTTTGGCGAATTCAACTTTAGCCTCCTTTTTTTTGAGGCAATTTTTTTTGTAACTGCACCTTAAAGCAGATCCGGTAAGTGCAACCCTTACACTACACAATTGTGAAAATAGTAAATCAAAACAATGGATACAATTCTTTATTTTTTTTCATTGTGTAGCGTAAGGACGCGCCCGGGTAACTATCTATGGAAACTTAAATTTGTGCAGTGGCAGGCGCGGAGTATTTGAGAAGGCAGTGGCACGCGCAGCATTTTAGAGACACCTTATCTCATCTTGAGTTTGGGCGGCGCCAAAACGATCTGAGCCAAACAGCGTAGGATAAAAAAAATGCACCTTATAAAAACAACAGTGGCCAAAAAATGGGAACCAAACAGTTGAAGACAAAATTTAGCACCCTACAAAAATGTTTGTGCCCAAAAAAATCTGAGACAAACAGTGTAAGATCAGAAAATGCGCCTTATAAAAATGACCGTGGCCAAAAAATCGGAACCAAACAGTTGAAGATAAAAAATGGCACCTTATAGAAATGACTGTGGCGAAAAAAATCTGAGCCTAACAGTGTAAGATAAAAAATGGCAATTTATAAAAAACTGCTGGCAAAAAATGGGAGCAAAACAGTTGAAAAAAAATATGGCACGTTATAAAAACCACAGTGGCGAAAACAAATTGAACCAAACAGTGTAAGGTAAAAAATGCGCCTTATATAAAAATGACAGTGACCAAAAAAATCGGAGCCAAACAGTTGAAGATAAAAAATGGCACCTTATAAAAATGACTGTGGCGAAAATAAATGAGCCACACAGTGCAAGATAAAAAAATGCAATTTAAAGAATCACTGTTGCCAAAAAACCGGAGCCAAACAGTTGCAAAAAATGGCACCTTACAAAAATGTTTGTGCCCAAAAAAACCTGAGACAAACAGTGTAAGATCAAAAACTGCGGCTTATAAAAATGACCGTGGCCAAAAAATCGGAGCCAACAGTTGAAGATAAAAAATGGCACCTTATAGAAATGATTGTGGCGAAAAAAATCTGAGCCTAACAGTGTAAGATGAAAAAAAAAGGCAATTAAAAAAAACAAACTGCTGGCAAAAAATGGGAGCAAAACAGTTGAAAAAAAATATGGCACGTTATAAAAACCACAGTGGCGAAAACAAATTGAACCAAACAGTGTAAGGTAAAAAATGCGCCTTATATAAAAATGACAGTGGCCAAAAAAATCGGAGCCAAACAGTTGAAGATAAAAAATGGCACCCTATAAAAATTACTGTGGCGAGAAAAAAATGAGCCACAGTGCAAGGTAAGAAAATGCAATCTATAAAATGACTGTTGCCAAAAAAACGGAGCCAAACAGTTGCAAAAAACGGCACCTTACAAAAATGACTGTGGCCCAAAAAATCTGAACCAAACAGCGTAGGAAAAAAAAAACGCCTTATAAAAATGACAGTGACCAAAAAAATCGGAACCAGACAGTTGAAAACAAAAAAATGGCACCCTATAAAAATGACTGCGGCGAAAAAAAATTGAGCCACAGTGCAAGATAAGACAATGCAATTTATAAAATGACTGTTGCCAAAAAAACGGAGCCAAACAGTTGAAAAAAATGGCACCTTATAAAAATGACTGTGGCCAAAGAAATCTGAACCAAACAGCGTAGGATAAAAAATGCGCCTTATAAAAATGACTGTTGCCAAAAAAATCGGAGCAAAACAGTTGAAAAAAAATGGCACCTTATAAAAATGTCTGTGGCAAAAAAATCGAACCCAAACAATGTAAGATAAAAAATGCCATCTTATGAGAAAAATTGTGGGCAGGCGCAGTACTTATGAAACAACTATGTCCATCTTGAACGTGGCAGCTGGCACGGGCAGTGTTTGAGAAACAACTATGGCCATCTTGAACGTGGCAACTGGCAGGCGCAGTATTTGAGAAGCAACTATGGCCAGCTTGAACGTGGCAACTGGCAGGGGCAGTATTTGAGAAGCAACTATGGCCATCTTGAACGTGGCAACTGGCAGGCGCAGTACTTGAGAAGCAACTATGGCCATCTTGAACGTGGCAACTGGCAGGGGCAGTATTTGAGAAACAACTATGGCCCTCTTGAACGTGGCAACTGGCAGGGGCAGTATTTGAGAAGTAACTATGGGCAGCTTGAACGTTGCAACTGGCAAGGCGCACTATTTGAGAAACAATTATGGCCAGCTTGAAGGTGGCAGGTGGCAGGGGCAGTATTTGAGAAGCAACTATGGCCATCTTGAACGTGCCAGGTGGCAGGCGCAGTATTTGAGAAGCAACTATGGCCATCTTGAACGTGGCAGGTGGCAGGGGCAGTATTTGAGAAGCAACTATGGCCAGCTTGAACGTGGCAGGCGGCAGGCGCAGTATTTGAGAAGCAACCATGAATGGGTGTGCCCATGCGGTGGGTTGACTTTACATGACTTTACATTACTTTAGCCACCTGGTAGGCATGCAACAGTGCAAAACCAAGTTGTTCTGAGTTCTGCGGGAAATTCCTTCTGCACTTTGAAGCCGACAGTGGACAGCAGACTGCTGACCACCTATTTTGGATTCTGCGGAGATGAATGGAAATGGATCTCCAAATCAAGAGCCATCGTTCGTCATGCTCCAAAAGCATGTAAATCGATATAGCGAACGATCTAAACCGATAAACTTTTGCTCATGACCGCCTTTGTGACCCCTAGTTTTGGTCCCCGCTCATGTGCACAGAAAGGGGTAGACCATGTCTGGACAGTACTAGACTCCCCAAACGCAGACACTACGCAATATTTCCGGGTCCAAAGTTTGCCCTTGCATCTATATCATGGTGAGCAAGAGATTTGTCCAAATGATTTTCCCGTTTTTTGCGGAGGAAGCAAAAAGAAAGGCTGAGTTGGAAGAATTGGCCTTGAGTGCAGAGCAGGATGAAGAAGACGTTTTTGATTTTGGTGGCATGAGGTGACTTAGAATCTCCGAAGGAGTTATCCATAGCCCAACTTCTCACAGAACTTGTGATGTCGCAGCGCTTCGACAGCTTTGGACCCGCAAAAGTAGCGTAGCGCAGTGAGCCGTGTGTGTCTGTCCCAACTGGATTCTCTAACCAACCAGGTTTTCTTGCTGATGCCACCCAAAGCTCGCGCACCGGAGGCGCGCATGGTGTTTGGGTGGGGCCAGGTTTCTGGGGTTGAAATTTGCACATGTTCCGGGCCAAGCCGATGTCTCCCCACAGTGTGCAAAAAATTGCGTAAAGAATGTTTGTATATATATATATTATTTTTTTCCTCCACTTGGATTTGCCCACGCTTTATGTTGCAACCAGAAAGCATCCCATGCTGTACTTGGGAACCTAGAACGCAGCTCCTGTGTGCACCGCTGCTTTGACCGAACGCATCAAGCAAGTGCTTCAAAGTTAACGTTGATTTCCACAAGTCCAAAAAGTTTACTAACGGATGGGGACCCCAGAGCTTGCTGTCTTGAACTGACAACTAATTTTCAAAGTGGCAGCAAGTGACCTTGACATGATAGCATTCTACCTGCGGGCAGTACTTCGAGATGTGATGCCATGTATGTGCAGCCATGAGCTCAATTGAGTTGGCGGGCTTGAGCCGCAGGATCCGCTCCGTGAGGAGAAGTTTGAGAAGACAGCTGGATGAGTCGCAAGGCTCATGGAGCGGCCTCTCTGCTTCATGCGTGAGACAGGCGCTCCTGGTCTACCTTTGGAGCCAAGCAAAGACGTCGCATCATGCTTTGGACGCCGCGGCTACCTACCTCGCTCGCGCTGCTCCTCTGGTGATTGTGCAGGTGGCCGTGTCGGCGAAGGATGCCTTCGATGCTTTGTTTGCCGCTACTTCGGCAGCGTTGATGGCTCGGTTGAGCACAGACCCACCTGCATCGGAGCTGTACCGGGCTTGTGATTTCATTATACAATACCTGCTTCATGATTGGGTCAGGTCTCAAAATGTCGAGTATGGAGTGGCCCCCACAAGGCAGCAGTTAGTAAGACAGGCTTTGCTCTTTGTTCCGGACGGCCTTCCAGAGGCTGTAGAGAACCGCCTGTGTTTGCCTTTCTATGGTGGCCCTCCATCCCAACGGGCATATTTGAGACGTTTTCGGAAAGCTTGGAACGGGCGCATAGGCACCTTACCTGTCACAGCTTCTTTGCCAATCCATGTGTTGCAGGAGAAGGCGTGGACTTGGTCGGGTTGGGTCGGTTTGGTACCCAATTTTGAAAGCAGTTCTGGAACCCCAATTTCAGGTCCCCATGGCTCAGGTAAATAGGGTGGCCCCCTTTTTAGGGTTCATTTTTGGCACCCCTTTTTTGGGGCCTGCTTTTGAAGCAATTTTTGTTTTGGAGCTTGCAAGCCAGGCCTATTCTTTTTACCGGTGGGCCAACTGCATCCCGCCAGACAATATTTTGGTCAACATGGATGAATGTTCTTTGGCTGTGCACGTGGAAGGGTGCCGAGGTACTGTTTTGCGGTCTGTACGTGGTGCAGTGCGAGCATCTTTGAGTACCCAGAGGTCCCGGATGACGCTCTTAGCATCAGTGTCTACAGACTTCGGTTTCAACGCAATCTTGCCGCAGGTTATCATTGCCAACAAGACCCAGTTTCCCATCAAATTTATGAAGTTCCTTGGATCCGGCAATCACGGATCGATTGAAAATTTGGCGTGGTGCCACCGCATGGAATACTGCTGCATTCATGTGTTCCTATTTGCGTCTTCTACATGAAAATTGGCAATCTTACTGCCCTGAAAAGCCTTTGACGCTCCTCTTCGACTGTGCTGCATGCCACCTCCATTCTACTGTGAGGTCATTGGCCAAAACATTGGGGTTGCAGGTCCTAGTGGTGCCGGCTGGTGCTACCGGTACACTTCAACCGCTTGATGCATATATTTTTCGCACCCTACGCTGTGAGATCCGGCGGCAGTGGACGCAGACAAAGAGCGAAGCTGCTGAAGGTGTTGTTTCCCGAGAAGCATGGCTACGTGTGATGGCCACTGCAGTGGAGACAGTGCTTTCGCATCGAGATTGGCAGCGGGCTTTTGAAGGAACTGGAGTGACCAAGCAGCAGAATTGCATATCGTCGCATGCATTGAAAGCCTTGCAATGGGATGAGTGTCCAAAGATTCCAGCTGGGCGCCCTAGTGTGGGGCAAGCATCGTGTATCTTCCCAAGCCGCGGTGCTGGAAGTGGCAACATTGAAGCATGGGTGAAAGAGTGCGCTGGTGATGACAGCTTAATTCCATACATCCGAACCTTGAACTGATGGTAGCAGTAGCTCTGCCTTGATCAGGTGAAAAGATGCAACAGCTGGGAATGCATACTGTAGTCCGATTTGTTTGGACACCTTACTTGTTTTCACTGATGGGCAGTGTGAAGGTGAGAGCGTAAAGCAAGGCAGTGTCGGTGGAGTCATTGTTGACAGGACCTGACGATGCCTACAACGCTTTTCGAGCACAGTCCTTCTTGAGTTCAGGACACGAGCGCTTGCCGAGTCATCCGACCAAATTTACGAGCTCGAGCTTCTGCCGATTCACATAGCCATCAGTTTGTGGGGAACCTTGTGAGTTCGACCCACGCAGTGTTTTGTCTGGACAACGGCGCAGCCAGGGCAGCCTTGTGCAAAGGTTGTGGAGGCATGCGGCTGGGAAGCAAGCTTGTCCAGAACATAAGGGAAAGCGAAAGCACCTTGCGGTTGAAATCCTGGTATGCCAGAGCACCAAGCCACTCCATATTTCAGACGGACCTAGCCGTTTGGACTGCACCGAAACAAGACAGTTGGGGTCCGAAGAAGTGAAGGTTGACAGGAGCAAAATTCTTGAGAACCTTCTACAGTGCGCTTTTCCAACCTGGGGAGAGCACGGGCACACTGATCTTTCCCCAACTGCTCTGAAAAAAGGTGCGGCTGTTTTCAGGAGTGAGCTTTCGACCGTGTTTGTTTCTTGAGTGCTGACGTTTTCGTTATGTTTTATTTTTACGTCGACGACGACGACTTTCGCAGAGATCTTGCAAAGAACAGCGTTTTTCCTAAATGAATAAGTTGGGACTCCTCCTGAAAGGAGGATACAAACCTTATTCAAAAAAAGGAAAAATTTTAGTTTGACTAAAATTAGCTGTTCTGCGTTTTGCAATCGGCCTTGCAGATTTTAATCATGCAAGTTTATTGCTGAGATGTTTTTGAACATCTTTTTCTCTGTTTTGTTTTTAAACAAGACTATCTCACCCTGTTTCTGGTTGTCAACGAAACATTGGTTTCCCAAAACAACGGAACTCAATTCATGTTCATCCGAACCTTTCGGTTTAAGGGAGGGAGTGGTGGGAATTCTCGTGTTTTTCGAAACTTGAAGACCCACCCAAAACCATGGTTTTTTTCCCCCCCAATTTTTTGAAGTGATCCGAAGTTTTGACAACTGTTCCTTTCCGAGCAGTTTGGTCCAAACCCGTGGGCACTGCCCAACGTAGTTCATATTGTGGTCATGTCTGACCCATCGCAGGATCTCATCGAAGATTCCAATACTGACATGCAAAGGACTTTTAAGGTCCTACAATTACCTTTTGACGAAGACCGCAGCCAAAGGTTGTTTCAACTTCCGCTGTTGGTCGTTACCTATATCGTGCATCGATATGACTGGATGGATTTTGGCATATTCATCTTTTTGACCTCGGAAGATCACGCTTCCGTTTCCACGGTCAATTGGGCTGCCTGGAACGAGTACATGGAAAGGTATTCTGACAATTTAACTGCTGATTCCCCTCAAGCAGGGGTCGTGGCCCAACAATTGCCACTACAGTTAGCCTAGCCCTGCCGTCAGAGCACGGGCACACTGATCTTTCCCCAACTGCTCTGAAAAAAGGTGCGGCTGTTTTCAGGAGTGAGCTTTCGACCGTGTTTGTTTCTTGAGTGCTGACGTTTTCGTTATGTTTTATTTTTACGTCGACGACGACGACTTTCGCAGAGATCTTGCAAAGAACAGCGTTTTTCCTAAATGAATAAAGGCACAATCATTGAACAAAATGGTGATGGACTCCTTGAAGACTCCCACATGCCAGTCGGATGGCCACTGCACATCGACGGTGCTGTCAGGCAATGTTGTATTCACCGAGCTGCGACCCGCCAAGAATTAGATGACATGCTTAAAGAATACGACATGAAAAGAGATTCGGTTGAAATAAACCATGACGCACCCCAATGGTCCCACAACGCAGTATGGAACAGAAGGTATATGGAACCGAAAGCAGGATACACGCTGCGACAACTTTGGGATGATTCCGAACCGGCCATTGGACAGAAATCTTCCGCCTCATATGACATCAAAGAAGGTGACATTTTACGTGCAGTAGCTGCCATCACAAACCTGCCGTCTCCCACACTGCATGACAGTCCCTTCATCCGTGTATTGGGGACACCGGCAGCCCAAAGGGCCCCGCCACAGACCTGCACCCTAGCGCAAAGAGCCCTAGAAGAGTGGGAACGCACCCTGTGTGAAAATAAAGCGGTGGCAATCCTTGCACAAATGCAAGCCGGCCGACCAGCCCTAATCCAGAAAGACGGCGGCGAAATGCTCATTGCCATTGTCCTTGATAGGCCACTGGCTGAAGCTAAGGCGCTAGTGGACGACCCTGCAGCCTTCACTCGCGAAATGACTAAGATCCTGCTTGCCAAGCAAAGCCATCCCCTTATCGCCCAAATGATGAGGCCGCCCGGAAGCGGTGACCCACCCCCCGCACATAGCACAGCTAGTGGCACTAGCAGCCACGAACGCCCCAGCGCCAGTCAACCCGTGCAATTCCAGTAGTTTAGACATGTGTTGATAGGTGCTGTCACCATGGGGTACACATGGTTGACCACTGCCTAACGTAGCTGCCGATGAAGTAAGCTTGCCTGGGCTAGTATGAGGAGAGAGATAGGGGTAAGGGATTATAGTAAACCTTTTGGGGGGGACCTATACTTAAGTGTTGTTGTTTTGTTGGTAGTGTAGGATGATGTCAAAGTACATCAAGCCATGGAACCCGTTGCCGTTTGACATTACCTCGACCAACACACTGACCGGCCATGCACACCTCCAAATGGACGCCTATGCCTTTGTTCTGATTAGCTGGCAACTCTGCGATTGATGGATGAACTGCCCAGCAGCTTTACGTTTGCATAACACCCAGCGTACAGTTCAGCCCTGTGGTATGGCCCAGCCAACCCCAGTAAAGGATGCTGCTGTCAGTCGCCTAGCAAAGTCAATCACTCAACTGACCCTGTGTCAGGTCACTACCAGTGAAATGGATGCTGCCACCAAACTGCTCGACAAGGCATGCCAGAAGCTTCAAGGTATTCATAATATCCCATCCCAGAGGGTCACTGACCTCGAAGCCGCCATACGCCAACTCCGCCAAATTAGCTGCATATTGGATAGTTGTACAATCTCTGCCAGCTATGAAGTGAGCCAAGCGCAGAAAGCCATACTGCTACTGGATCATACAGCTAAAGGAGCTAGCACGTCATCGGAAGAGCTCAATGCACAGATATCACCACGCACCGATGATGAGCACAATCTCCCATACCATGAAGACTACCTGCAAGAGCACTAGCGCAATGGAACTGTCTGCAAATCGCGGCTACATGATGATGATGATAGAAAAAGGACTATTGAGCAGACTCTGAGTGCGCCCTGAATGCCGTAGCCTTGCTGTCATTTTCACTTTAGATCATGTCTCACCTCCCTGTTTCACCCTTCTCTCATTTCTCACCACTCTCGTTGCGACCCGGCGTTGTCGGTGTTTGCTTCGAAGTGCATGGGTGAATATCATGCCGGTACGGCTGCTCTTTGTGATCTCGGGGATCCTGGCTGGGGGGATCCCCGGTTTCCGCATCGAGCTTTTGTTGCTTCCATCACCCGATGTGGCCCTTTGGCCTGTTTTTGTTCGGTTCTGTTTTGTGGTTTTGTTTGGGCCATTTTTAGGATGACACATAAGATGTCATCGTGCATGGAACTCCAACTGCTGGTTGCAATCCTGTCATTGTCCTTTTTTGGGTGTTTCTTTTTGGGTGTTTGTTTTGGTTTTTGTTTGCTTTTTGGTTCCTTTTTTGGTTTGTGTTGTCTTTGATGGGATTGCCCACTGGACTTTGTAATGGTCCACTACCAGCTCTTTTGAGGCTGCTGACTCTTTTGACGGCCTTGCATGCAATTACAATTCAGCTCGTCTGCTGCGGTTGAACGTTTGTAACGACCTGGCGAAAGCCATGAAGGCGTTGGACGGAAAAAAATGCAGCAAATTGGATCTGGCCTCTTAAATCTCAAAGCTTCCTTCCTGGACATACGACCTGAGTTGATAAATCCAGCGATTGTTTCTGACAACTCAGTTGCCACATCGGACTTCAAGGCCGTCATGATGGCAGAGTCCATCTCCAAAGTATCGTCCGCGCGCCGACGAACATTCACGTCTGTCCTGATGAGGTAAAGGAAAACCTGCCGGTCCGCCTTCAAGATTTCTTAGCATACCCTTCAGGGCCGGATATGGCTGAAGAGCGTCTGTAGATAGCGCTCATGGCTGTCCCAGCTCATCATGTCTACGAAGGCGAAGGCCACTCCTCTTCTCTTGAGTGCCTCCAAGACCTGTAATTCGGTCGTTGCTGATGATCTGGCGTCTTGGCCTCCTCCTTTACCAGGAGCTTATCAGAATCCACATGGAGCTGCTGAGAGGTCTTTGAGAAGAACTTCATGTTCTCGGGTGGCCAGCTTCTCCACTGGGATATATTGAAGTTGCCGAGTCTCCCAGATTTGGGCCACAAGGTTCAAGAGCCTGGCTCGAGTTGGTGCTCCAAGATCACGCCCGGCAACCTTGCCTTTAGCTGATGCATCTTTGCATCACGTTCGACCGGTGGCATCTTCCTTGTAAGTCCCGTTTCAGGATTGGCCACTTGCTCCCGGAGTTGAGCCATGACCATGGTGTGGGACTCAAAGAGGAGTCTCTGGAAGGAGCTTACGTCGTGCATTGATGATACCACCTAGCAGACCTAGCACGTTGGCTGCAAATCTTCCAAATTCTTGTTCTGGGACAGGCACTCCCGGCTGTCCCACACCGAAGGGAGAGGTGAGCCAAAGTGGTGTAGCCAGCAGTGGTGATTGCAGCCTTTCCTCTGTCTGTCACTCCAATTTCTTCCATGCGCTTTGTGAAGTGCGCCTCTGAGTCGACAATTGACGTCATTGCGAGCGACGGCGGGTGTAAAGTAGTTGTATTGACAATAGACAGGAATGCAATAAGTTGAAAACTTCC